ATCAGGGGATTTGAGAACTTCATGGGACTCCGAAAGAGAGAAAGCCAAGTCCAACTTAAGAGCACATTGACGCGTCAAAGAGGCCATGCTCATGCTTGCAATCCAATGCCTTTCAGTACACATGACCAAGGGCAGCTTCTCTTGCAACTTATGCCAAACTGGTTCATCAAAGGTCAAATAGTGCCCTGATTTTCATAGGCCAGCCTGCACTTGTAACAGACTGTTTGAACCAGTCTGGTGCGCACTGAGCAGGTGTATGCCTGGCAAACCAGCCTGTTTCAAACCCGTAGCCCATGACAAACCCCATCAATGCCGAACAAGGTCACTCAACAACCGAGCATGCCCAGCACATATGATCCCGCGATTTTTCAAGCAGGGAGCTCAAGTTTGAGCTAGATGACAAGCATAGGTCCAATTCGACAATTGAGTCAAGCCGAGCCAGCCCTGCTCTTCTGGCTGGCCCCGAGTTATCGAGCTGGCCCAACGAACCAAGACACGGATTGCCGGCCGAGCTGCTTGGACAGGACTGGTCCGCACCGCGCAAGAGAATCATGCTAACAAATCCCATGCGCTAGCACGCTTGGGCTGGTTCCCATGTCCTGAGAAATCCTGTTGATGTCTGGCAGAGAATCATGACTCTTGAGTCCTGTGGGACACATTTGACCCTTGGTTGACATAGTTGGAGCTCATTCTTGTATTCCCACCTTTTGTTGGACCACAGGTCCAACATGACAATCGAGTTAAGACAAGCCGGCGATCTGAGTATCAACTGGCTGGAATGAGGGGGGTTTCGACGAGCCAAGACCCGTCTTGTTGGCTCATTGGGTCTGGCAGAAGGTGGTAAGCCATACCTGCTTGTCTCGGCTTGACTGGCTTGCCTACGATGGGCGAGCCTATGAGACAAGCCACGACCCCGATCAGGATCAGTTGCCCAACCGGCTCGTCAGCCCCCTGGCTCATGGCAACTTGAAATACACCGGCTTATCTTGGTCCTATGCTCGTACCCGATTTGAATCTTAAGGAGTCTTTCATGCCTCCCTGAGGAAATTTCAGATGGTGTCAAATGCTGGTTGTGACAGGCTTGGACCCTTCGTCATGAGGCTTCTTACGATAGTGGCAGATTAAGCTTGGCCCAACTCAAACAGATGGGCCACGGCAATCAAAGCAAGAATAATGCCCATCCCAAACCCTCCCAATCCCCTCCCGGTCATGTCTGACCATAGACGCATAAACCAGACCGGCCTAGTTACAGCTCTAGCTCTCGCTAATTTTGAAAAGAAAAACAGTTCTCACATACTTCTTACCAACGGTAGCACACAGACGGTTTGAGAACCAGCATTATGACCATGATTGTGCGGGAATGAGACATACTAATAGGGTCATGCAAGGGCCAGCAAGGTGCATTAGAAAGGGGTATAGGACCAGAAGAAGGCCAACCTTCTTTCCCATCGAGTAGCCCTCTGGTAGTGGGCCTGGTAGCGCTACCAGACTCCGAGCGCCCTGCACGCGAGCTGGCTCCAGCTGTGCCACTCACCTCCTTTTCAACCTCCACCACTCAATCGTCGATCACGGCCAGATACCACATCATGACCTGGCAATGCTGGCAAGACACATCATGAATTCGACACTTACGTGTAGTCAAACATGTAACTTGTGATTTCCTGTACGCTAAAAACACGGCATTAAATTATGTACATAGGCTGAATTATCATCTTAAATATTACAGTAAACTCTGAAATTTCAAAGTCTTTTGGGTGGGGAAAGCTGAACTCCCAGCTTAATCGATGATCAGCCAAACCTATGAGCAATCTAGGGGCCTGATCCGGACAATATCCACTCCTGTTCAGTGCCTTGTCATCTGCTACACATGGGCAAAAAGGGTTTAATTTCTTCATAACCCTTTCATAGCAATGACATGTCAGATGCGGTAGGGGAAGAGCCTTCTGTTGGGAATGAAAACTGGCAACAAAAACGTGAGTATAAGGGGGAGTGAGAGAGACTGGGGAGAATAAATCATAATCCAGTGGCGATAAGGCCCAAGGTCCTTACAAATAAAAAATAACTTGGGTGTACATTAGAGAAAAGCTTGGGTGAAAAAAAAATGACTTGCACCGACAGCAGATACTCCATGAAGCCCATTGCTGACTCATTGACCCACTAACCGACCCGTCGCTGACTTATCGACCCATGGGCTGACTGACCACAATCCGATCACTACCACCACTGCACTCTGTTACATTATATAAATATACCTGCAAGTTCTGTTGCTTGGTGTGACTGGGTAAACACCCAAATTGGGGTAAACCCAATTCTAGATGTAGAACAAAGGACCAACTTAATGTGCTGGATGACCCTTATGAAGGACATCCAACTGTACAGAGTGGACACACACTTGAGGTGGGTGGGGTCCAACTTCCCACAGCTGGCTGCAGTCCAACCCACCAACTAGGCCAGTTGGGTCCTTGGTCCAACTCACCCCACTAGGCCAGTTGGGTCCTTGGTCCAACTCACCCAACTAGGCCAGTTGGGTCCTTGGTCCAACTCACCCCACTAGGCCAGTTGGGTCCTTGGTCCAACTCACCCCACTAGGCCAGTTGGGTCCTTGGTCCAACTCACCCCACTAGGCCAGTTGGGTCCTTGGTCCAACTCACCCCACTAGGCCAGTTGGGTCCTTGGTCCAACTCACCCCACTAGGCCAGTTGGGTCCTTGGTCCAACTCGCCCCACTAGGCCAGTCGGGTCCTTGGTCCAACTCACCCCACTAGGCCAGTTGTGTCCTTGGTCCAACTCACCCCACTAGGCCAGTTGGGTCCTTGGTCCAACTCACCCCACTAGGCCAGTTGGGTCCTTGGTCCAACTCACCCCACTAGGCCAGTTGGGTCCTCGGTCCAACTCACGCCACTAGGCCAGTTGGGTCCTTGGTCCAACTCACCCCACTAGGCCAGTACGGATCACCCCCTGATCTCATCACCCCGTGATCTCATCGTCCATCACCCTTTGATTCCATTATCCCATCACACGATCATCGCATCATCCCATCTCCCCTTCTCCCCATCAACCCATACCCCATCGGCACATCGTCCTATCACACTCTCGCCATGCCTTTCCTTTGGATGTGCCCTGCACCACTATGGTTGCTGTTCAACAGGTTCGGGCAGTTCATTGCCCGCCCTCACCCCCATGGCCCCAATTCTCTTAGCTGCACGAGGCACGACCTACAAATCAGGAGCAATGAAATCCATACACTTGCATCTTCATGTTCCTCCCTTCTTCTCCCTGCTACCAAATCCACTTCTCACCCGCCCCACCTCTTCCAGCATCGTGGCAGAGCCCAGGCGTGCTGAGTGCAGCTGTCACTCTCCATTGTCCCCCTCTTCCCCTTCCCCTTACACTTTCCCATTTCCACACTTCCCCTTACACTTTCCTATCCCCACCCCTTTCTACCTTCCAACCGCCTTCCCCATTCCCTCCTCTATCCCTTCCGCTTCCCCATCCCCAATGCCATTCCCACATCTCCGGGTGTACACATTGCAGCCAACGAGCAGTCGTCTCTACGCTGAGGTTAGTAGTGCCTTGTATCGAACCTGCTTCTACCAAATCGGGTCTGTGCTCTCAATTGTTGCCTGGCTGGCCACCACTGCCACTGACAACCCAACTCATCGTCTCTCGTGTCCACCCTTTCAATGTGGAAGAGTCAGTCTCATGATCTCATCGCTCCATCACACGTTCACCCCATCCCCACAACACCATCACCTCACTACCCCATAACCCAATTAGACCATCACCTCGTCAAACCACCACCACTTTACCCCATCATCCCATTACCCCATCTTCCGATGATTGGTGGGGCACACATGGTGCAGGTGGGTGGGGCAAAAGCGAGATGGTTCCCTCGACTTCCCCTACCTGCTCTGTCGTCACCCACCTATCCTACCATTTCCCCTCCACCCCCTACACTCCCCATTTGGCAGGCGCAAGACCAGCATTTCCACGACTGGCTCGATCAAATTGGATGCCTTTCCAGGCGTCACACTCTGCCACTTCTCAGCCTTCATCCTCGCTTTTCTTCCCTGCCCACCCTTGACGTCACCTCTCCCTCTCTGCAGGCACTATCCGGAAGGCACAAGGGCCAAGATCACCACTCTCACCACCGTCGCCCTCTCTTAACCTTTGGAAGGGCGGGTTTTCTGCAATGTGCTCTGCCTTTTCTCAGCCTTCACCATCCTCGGCCTCCGCAACAGCGATGTCGATTTGTGTGATTTGACATCATGTCATGTCGATGCTGTTGAATGGAAGTCTGCTGCTGCTGCTCTCCAAGGGTGATGGCATGATCTCAACTCAACCTTACCAATTCAATAATCTCTAAATGTCGGAAGTTGTTCTTACTTCTGAATAGCTGGTTCTGTTTCGCAGGAGAGGCGGCATAATCTGTACTTAACTATCAACAAATTTCTAGGGTATTTGACCATTTGGCTGGCCGCTGGCAGCTGGCCATTTTACAAATTGCAGTTGGTTCATTTCTGCACTTCCTTTGGTGTATCTACTCACAGTTCACAGTGGGTTATACAATATGTCCATCCGGCAGCAAACCATCATTCACCTGCACCGAGCATGTAACATGCAGCAGAAGTCTCCGTTGAAGATTATGCACACAATGCGACCATCTCACATGCATCTTGCGACTGCACATCTGACAACTTTGACACGAAGCTACACAAGCATCACGATTGCATAAGCTGGACTGTCAACGGATGCCCGAGGCCTGCGTGGGAGTGCAGGCAGGTTGGGGCAAAGTCGCAAGGGCAGAAAGCAGGAGGAATTAATGATGATTCCTTAGATCGTATAGGCAATTTGACATGAGAAGAGTGGGGGTATGAGAAGCGTGGGGGTATGAGAGGAGTGGGGATATGAGAGGAATGGAGGTCATGATAAGAGTGGGGATTGAGAGAGGAGTGGGGGTTATAAGAAGTGCGGGGGAAATGAGCGGAACGGGGGAAATACCTAAGAGTAATGGAGGGTATGAGAGGCGCGAGAGGGGGGGAGTATAAGAGGAGTATTGGGTATGAGAGGAGTGGGTGGTTGAGTGGGTGTGACAGGAGTGGGGGTGTAAGAGGAAGGGAGATTGTGAGAAGAGTCGGGGTTGGGAGAGGGGTGGGGCTTATGACAGGAGTGGGGGTATGAAAGGAGTAAAACTCGACTCTGTGATTTTCTCATATCTAGCAAAAGGCACCTCTCAAGGAAGATGCAACGAATGACTGAAGCCCCATCATGAGTACCTGATTGAAGGTATTCAGTGCTTCAGACCTGTCCAGTGCAAGAGTGGGTGCGGGAGGAAGGGGTAAGCACGTGAAGAAAAATGTGAGTCAGTGAAAAAGGCAGGGCAGGAGAAGGAGAAGGAGACAAGAGTGGCAGGGCAGGAGAAGGAGAAGGAGACAAGAGTGGCAGTGCAGGGACGGAGAGAAGGGCAGGTGAGGGGACATGGGAGAGTGTTGGGCAAGTGTACATGATCCACACAATTGAAGCGGACTCATCCAGAGATAGAGGGGCCGATTCCATCAGCTGCCACGCAAGTGATTACCAATGCACAGACATAGCAGCCAACTACTCCCTTGCAGGAACAAGGGCTGTACCACTGCCGTGGCACTGAACAACGATTCTAGCAGCAGGACCCCACCCACATCCTGCCGACAAACAGCCAAGGGGCGTCAGCAAGCACATGGCATCACTGCCCTAAGTTCCTCTTGTCACATGTGCCAGCGCAACTCTGTGTACAACATTGGAATTCGTGGCCTAAACGGACATCGCAGCTTTCAGGCATAATGCAGACCTCGCTTTTGCATCTCCTCCCACATGCCACTCTCTCTTTCTCGCCTTCACCTCCATCCTGTCACTTACCTTGTTGATGGTCGTCCCACTCTTCTTGCCGTTGCTCCTGCCGGGGCATGTGAGCTTGTGGGAGGGCCAGTGCGCCTTTTGGCACTCTCTGCTGCAATATGCCACCTTGCCACACCCACTGCAGCTCCTCAGCTTCACACCGCCACTCTCCACCATCCCACACCCCACAGCACCGCACGCATGTCCCCCCGAAGACGGAGGACCAGAGCCTTCAGCATTCAAAGTGGTATTTGCTTTGGGAACGGCTGCTGCAGCAGCGCTTGGTGAAGCGACAATAATAGCGCCATCTGATGAGGGTGTTGCTGTGGGAGAGTTCCTTACAGCAGCAGTTGGCGATACAGCAGGGACGGAAGGGGCAGCAGGGGAGGCAGGGCGGTAGCACGGCTCCCCGAGCAGCATCTCTCGCAAACATGCCAGCAGATTGACTCCCCCCGGCCATGCCTTCAGATAAGTCGGCTCCTCCCCTTTCTTGCCCTTCCGCTTGCCAGAACTGCTGCTGCTGATGCAACGAGTTTTAAGGGCTTCAGTCCACTGCTTCTTGTCCTCACAAAACCTGGGCACCATAGCGCGCTCGTACATCTCAGTTATGTCTTTCACGCGCGCATTCATATCCTCCTCCCTTGAGTGGCTGCCATTGCAGGCCGCCCCGCCCCCCTCCACACCATCAACCGGACGTACAGCCGTGAGCCACGCCTGCACCTCCTCCCACACAACCCCGGAATCTCCTTCACCATCCCCACCCTCTCCGCCCTCTCTGCGCTCCCAGCCCTCCCCACAGTCCCTACTCCCCGCCCTCTTCCCACCCGCCTTCCCTTTCGCCCGGTTGCTTTCCCCTCCAGTGCTCAAATTCCGCTCCCCCTCTGTCCAAAACTGCTTCAGGAGAGGCGTGGGGCAAAGAAGCGCGACGATGAGCAGGAAGGAGACGGGCTGCAGGTCCACCCATTCCAGCAACCCATGCAGGCTGCTCCCCGCGGCAGAAAAGGGGTTGTACCGACTGTTTATCCCCAGGCGCATGAGAAGGGTGCGGAACTCCTCTGTGTGCGGCGGGAAGACGGAGAGGAAGCAATCGAGAAGAGAGGCGGCGGGTCGGTAGGCGAAGTTGGCGATGAGAGCGACAACGGGACCAAGGGAGACGAACCTGTTGATGCATGCGCTGCACTGGGCACATGCTGGTGCCTCCGAAATCATACCGGCGAACTCTACTATGAAGTCCACATCTGCCTTGCAGCGCACGATGGGATAGCACTCGCTCGGAAATGGAGGGGCTTCTTTGGTGGGAGCTTTCAAGGACTTCCCATGCCGCTTTGATGCATGCCCTCTGTTCTTGCGACCCAGACTGCCATTCGACCGGCCCTGCCCAAAACATCTGGCACTGGCGTCGTCAGGAAACTTCACAGCAGCTTCATTCCCCTCAGGCCACTCCTCCCACTCCGCGACTCGGCTGCTTCCATCCAAAGGCGGGGGAACAGCGCCGAACCTGAGCAGCAGGTTCGGAAGATCCCGAAGTGGGTGGCGCATGGGCAGGAACTTTCCCCGTGGGCTGTCCTTGACGCAGCTCTTGGCGGAGATGGAATCTGAGCCGTAGAAGCCACTGCAATATGCGAGCAACCCGATATGCGAGCAGCCCAATAGCAGGGTCTGTGTTGACAGACACGAGGCAAGACTCACGGGACCCTTTGGTACAAGAGTTCAACGAGCCACTGCTGCTAGTAGAACCGCTGCTGCTGCCGAGGGTAAGTCTGGCTCCGGCTGAGGCAGCAGCCGCTTTGGTACCTGGTCGCCTTGTTGCTGGTGCCGCTGAAGCTGCTGATTCGAGTCCTCCACCTGTTGCCCCTCCCCCTTCCATCCCTGCTGCCAACCCCAGCTTTGTCAGCCCCCCCCTGGCCTCCTCAATGGCTGCATCCTCCACAATACTCGTGGTGGTGCTCTTATACCCTGTGAAGAACATGGCTCCCAGCTTGCAGTGCTCTGGCCGGGAGAACACAGAGGCGAATGCCAGGGCAAAGTCAGTGGCACCCACGCCACTCACATACATGCCCTTGGGAATATCTATGCCTTCCTTCCTGCTACAACTGCTATTGATGCTATTACTGCTGCTGCTGCTGCTATTGCTCCTGCTGCTGCTGCTGCCCTCCTCATTGCAGTGGCTGCATCTAAACTCCCTCCCTTCCCCCCCTCCATGCTTCAGAATCCAAGCCACGCCATCCACATACCTCTCCCACTCACGCCCCTTCAGATGCTCCCTGCACTTCAAGTCCTTCCCAATCCTCCCGCACCTGCTAGCAACCCCTTTGACCTCTTCCGTTTTCGCTGCCTCCTCCCCTGCATGCCTTCCATCATCATCCCCATGTGACACACCCACCAGCCCCCTTACAAACCTTCTCTCTCCTCGTTTTCCCCCACCAGCCATCTGGTCCATCCCCCCAAAACTCCCTCTGTGTTCTACAGTGCATTCTCCCACACCCTCCCACCTCCCCTTCCCCTCCCCTTGCACCTCCCTAGCAGCCTCCCCCCCGTCTCCACCTTTTCCCTCTGCATGCGCCTTCTCCAGCCCGCCTGACAGCACATGCTGCACGAAGAACCCAAACCCTTCCTTCAGATCAGCACTCTCCTTCACCCCCAGCACCTGCACCAGTGTGGACGCCGCACAGTCCGGATTCTCCTGCCTGCCCGCCCCCAGCTGGGCCACTAACGCTGGGTACACCCCATTGTATGCATCGTCATGAGCTTTCCATAACGTGTCAATTCGGGGCCATCTTGCCACGAGCACGAGGAAACCAGCGAAGCTGACAGCACGGCGGTACATTGCCCAGCAGCTGCTGCAGCGCCAGCAACAGGACCACGGTCCAAAATCAACAGCAGCAGCAGCAGCTGCATAAGATGCAGCAGGAAGCGATGTAGCAGGGGGAAGTCTAGTGGCCAGAATGGCAGGCAGGCGGGATCTGATTTTTCCCAAATTCATGAGCACGCCCACACGAGGCTCAGCCATCCACTCGAGCATCATCACTTCTGCACAAACAAACGGCGCAAGAGTGCACTTGCACATGAACTGCGCAAGAGGGTCCTCATCCTCCTCCTCTTGCTTCCCAAACGCGGGCACTTGAAAGGAATACTCCAGCACGCCCCTGTTGACCACGTCCAGGTGTGCAAGGGGGGTGCAGCGAGGCTGCTGTGTGTGCAGGAGGGATCGGAAGTGGTCAAGGCTGTGCATGGTGAGAGCGCGCTCTGCTACAAGTCTGACCACTTGGTCAAAGCAGCACTCGCACTCAGCCGCATCCCACCAGCCTCCCACGTCCAAGTAATGAACCATGTCCGCCCGACACAACAGCTGAGGCTTCCCCGGTGCTCCCTGACCTCCCGTTCTCCCTATCCCCCCGGCGGTCTGTGCAACTGCCTGCATGTGAGAGTTCCACCGCCTCATCACCTCGTGCCGACCACGCCAAATCTCCTCCTTGAAGTCCGAGAGACCTCCACCGCAGGATGCGCCACTCCCTGGTAAGTCTCCGTTCCGCTTCGCATCCTCGGCCTCTCCCTCGCCCTCCTCCTCGTCGCTGCTGGAGCCGATGTGGTCCCACTTGCTGTAATCGACTAGAGCAGTAGGTGCAGCAGCAGCAGTGATTGGAGCAGCACCAGTAGGTGCAGGTGCAGCCACAGCAGCTTCAGCAACTTGAGCGGCAGGAGCAGCAACAACTGCAATAATTGGTGCAGCAAGGAGAGCAGCAGCAGCAGGAGGCACCTCAGCAGCAACCGTGGCAGGAGCTACGGCAACAGCCGGAGGCACAATGGCAACAGGTGGAGCGGCAGGAACAATCGCTCTCTTTTCAGCCCCGTCCTTGCGATTCCCCTCTCCACCTTCATTCACTGCCTTCACGGGAAGCACCTTGATGGTGGAACCAGATTTCAGCTTTGCTTGCTCCACAGTGCAGTCAGGCGAGAGGTACACCACCTGGCCGAGCACCATGAACCGGACCGGCTGCATCCCATGCACCGAATTAGTAACCTCGGCAACTTCCAGGCCGCTGGCCCCTGCTCCCTGCTGCACGTGGCGTGCATCGCACGGCAGACAGCAGTCCGACAGGTGTGACTGGAACAGGCGGTTGAAGACCAATCGGAGAGGCTCCTCGGGCGAGGCAGCGACGTGGACGTCCACGTGGGAAGAGGCCGATACTTTATTATCGCCGGAACAGTTGTTGTTGGTTCGTAAACCGATGCTATCATGGTTGTCGGATGTGCGTTGGATTAAGCATGCGGGAATGTGGAATCGAACCTCATAAGCCATGGCTACTATGCTCCGGCGAGTAACGCTAAACGGTGGTCACAACCTGTTAGGGTTGGTTCGCCCAACCACAGAACCTATGGCGAAAGTTTCTACGACGGCGGAATGACGGCGAAATGGAAGCGCGTGAATGATTCTAGGTGAAACGGTGGAAATCGGCCTACGGCGTGAGAAGGGAGAGAGAAATCGAGAAGGAATGTGTGAGAAGGTGGAAGAAGCATCGAGATTGAAGTTGGCGAGGGGAAATTGTGGTTCGAGCTCGAGGCGTGTTCGAGAAGGTTCCAGATTCGGTCTTGAGGAGTGTTCACCGAATTCGGTTCGGTTGCGTGTGCGACTCGGGGAAAACGAGGCGCACGCGGTTACTTGGGAAACAAGTGAAGTTACGAATCGCATTTTGTACCTTGGTTGACTATAAAACTGCTTGTACTCATTCTGGAAATCACAACATTGAAACCAATCAGATTCTGAAAATTGCTGAAGTGTGTATTGACAACTTCAAGCAGAGCTGCGCATATCATTGGATTCGGGAGATCGTGGAGAACACGATAGGCGATAGCAAGTAGACTATTGCCGACTAAGGTGCTTCCGATCCTAAGACAACCCTAGTAGTAACTTTGTCCGCCATTCGTGCTTCCGCTGCTAAGGAATGTCGATCAGCACATTGGACTACGCAGTCGTTGGTTTCATCTCGCATTACTCGAGAATACCCAGATTGGCGTCAGATTGCTCGAACAAGAGCACCAAGGCATGGTGCCTTCATGCATTACTACTGCATGTTTCTTATCGCGCCGCTAAGTTCTGGAAACGTGAAATGGAGACGGTTTGGAGGCAAAGGACGAGAGGAACAGAGAGAACGAAGGACTCGAAACTATAGGCGAATGGAAGGAATGAAGGTGGGTTGAGCTAGTGTGCGAGCCGAAATGAATGGAATCATGACCAGGCCAGCCTTACCGCAGAACTGTATTTAGGGTTTCGCAGATTGAAACGTCGTGAAGCTGCAGAGGCACTGACACCTTCTAGACGCAACGGGTTTCGGACTCCAAATGCTCTGAGATGCCGCACGCCTGAGATAGCTTTCAAACGGCTCGCAGATAAGATAGCGTGAGGAGGGAGCAGAGGAATACTAGCGTGATGGTACTAAGTGCCACAGGGCTCGTACTCTTACTAGGCGCCATCGATAAGTAGTGCCGAGCTAAGATGGCTAAAGAGTGCTAATAAGATTGGTAATAAGGGTATTAAGTCGTGTGACTTCCATCACGGTGATATTGAATGGTTCTGCTACTGGATAACCAGAGTTCACCTCGTGCAACGATGTCTGTACGAAGTGCGATTGAATGCCGACACGTGAGCGAAAGTACACCTCTGAATTGCGAATGCGTTAGGGCGCGTGTCTTTTGGTGTAGAAGTTCGAAAAAAGGTCGAACTTTTGCTGGTAACCAGCTGTCAGAGTTATATGACATAGCTACTGTAGGCTATAGTGGGGTAGCACATATGGGGTACAGTTGCCTAGGGTTTGCCTTTTGTACCCAACTTTCACTTAGTCATTCTCATTCCTGTTTTCTTGATTCACATGGTATAGAGCGGGTTCCTACATGGGACCGTTCCTTCCTAAGGGCCCACCATAAGAATTTTTTTTTTTTTAGCTGCCCGCGCACATTGCGCCCTGCCCTAAATTTTTTTTTTTTTTAGCGGCCCCTACGCTGCCCCTACGCGGCCCCTACGCCGCCTCCCACGCGCCCCCTATGCGGCCCCTGGCGGCGCCCTGACGAGGCCCCTGCCGGCGCCCTATCGCGGCCCCTGACGCGCCCCCTGGTGGCGCCCTGACGCGGCCCTGACGCGGCCTGACGCGGCCCCTGGCGGCGCCCTGACGCGGCCCTGCCGTGGCCCCTGACGCGGCCCTGACGCGGCCTGCCGCGGCCCCTGCCGCGGCCCTGAAGCGGCCCCTGACGCGGCCCTGACACGGCTCTGCCGCGGCCCTGACGCGGCCCTGACGCGGCCCTGCCGCGGCCCCTGGCGGCGCCCCGACGCGCCCCCTGACGCGGCGCCCTGACGCGGCCCCTGCCGCGGCCCTGACGCGGCCCTGCTGCGGCCCCTGACGCGGCCCTGACGCGCCCTGCTGCGGCCCCTGCCGCGGCCCTGAAGCGGCCCCTGACGCGGCCCTGACGCGGCTCTGCCGCGGCCCTGACGCGGCCCTGACGCGGCCCCTGCCGCGGCCCCTGGCGGCGCCCTGACGCGGCCCCTGACGCGGCGCCCTGACGCGGCCCTGCCGCGGCCCCTGACGCGGCCCCTGCCGCAGCCCCTGACGCGGCCCCTGACGCGGCCCCTGTCGCGGCCCCTGACGCGGCCCCGCCACCTACCTTTCCGGCCACGCCGCCTCCTCTCAGCGGCCCCGCCGCCTCCTCCCAGCGGCCCCGGACGCCGCCCTCTCAGCGGCCCCGCCGAGCCGCCCAGCAGCCTAGCCGCCCAGCAGCTGAGCCACCGAGCCGCCCAGCAGCCGAGCCGCCGAGCCGCCCAGCAGCCGAGCTGCCCGGCAGCAGAGCCGCCGAGCCGCCCAGCAGCCGAGCCGCTGAGCCGCCCAGCCGCCGAGCCGCCCAGCAGCCGAGCCGCCCAGCAGCCGAGTCGCCGAGCCGCCCTGCAGCCGAGCCGCCCGAGCCGCCCTGTCCGGTAAGAGCAGCGCCTCTCTCACAGCACTGCCCTCACCCCACTGTTTGCGCTGCTAGTCTACTGCTGTCATGGCTACCCCTAGTGTCCTCGCTTTTGACGCTGAGGGTCGGGCCATTGACTTTGACGTCTGGATAGATGACCTGCAGCTTTTCTTACAGTGCGATAGGGCAGACGGCCTCTCCCTCTTTGACCTCACTTCTGGTGCCTCTCCTGCCCCCGCCACTGATGCTGACGCAACTGTTCGCTCCCAGTGGGCCACGCGCGATGCTGCTGCACGTCTTGCTGTGCGTCGCCACCTGCCTACCTCTGAGCGTGCGCACTTTAGCCAGTACAAAAATGCTCAGACCTTGTACGACGCTGTAGTTGCACGCTACTCCTCCCCTGCCACTGCTGCACTGAGTCGCCTCATGCTACCGTACCTCTTCCCTGACCTTGCTGCCTTTCCCACAGTCGCTGACCTCATTACGCACCTACGCACTAGTGACACTCGCTACCGCGCTGCGCTTCCTGCTGAGTTCTGCGCCAAGAACCCCCCCCCCCATGTACATCACCCTCTACTACATAGTCACCCGGCTCCCTGACTCCCTTCGCGTAGTCAGGGACCACTTCCTCTCAGTTTGCCCCACCACTCTCACCGTTGACCTCCTCGAGAAGTCCCTCCTAGCAGCAGAGAAGAGCATAGTAGCTGTAGGAGCCTCTCGTGGTGACCCTCGCACCCCCATCTTTGAGGGGTGTTCCCCCTCCCCCCTTTTGCCCTCTGTTGCCTCTGCTGCTGTGGCCGACCTCGTTGGGCTTGAGTCGGTCGGTGCGGCGTCTACCCCTAGCGGGAGACGCCGCCCTGGCAAGGGCAAGGGGGGCAGGGGCGCTGGAGGAGCTAGCGGGGGCGGTGGAGGCGGCAGTGGAGGCGGTGGAGGAGGTGGGGGTGGCGGTGGGGGTGGTGGCGGGGGTGGAGGTGTCGGTGGCGGCAGTGGAGGCGGAGGCGGCAGCGGCAGTGGCGGAGGGAGCGGAGGTGGCGGCGGTGGAGGAGGAGGCGGCGGAGGAGGTGGAGCTGGTCGGGGTGGCGCTGCGCAGAGGGTCGGCTCCGGTGGTGGTCAGCGCCAGCAGCAGCAGCAGGACCAGCAGCGCACTCGTGACATCCCCTCCCCTCAGCAGCTCCGTGAGTGGTACACTGCACGCCAGAGGGGTGGGGGTACTGGTCCGTGCACCTACGTCCTCCGCACCGGCGACCGCGCGGGTGAGCAGTGCGGGGGTGCGCACTCCACCCAGCGCTGCTTTGGCCGCCTGACGGACGCTTGGCGTCACCAGTTCCCTGAGGCCACTGAGATCCCCCGCTGGGGTGAGCTGTCTAGGGCGGGTGTGGCTGTCTTTGACCTTGACTTTGATGCTATTCTTGCTGCCATGTATACTGTGACTATTAGTGATGAGGGTGACTGTTACCGGTGTTTTCCGCCCGACCCGGGCATTGAGACTGCTGCTCTAGGTACTGGTGAGGCTGCTGCTCTAGGTGCTAGCGAGGCTGCTGCTCTAGGTGCGTCTGCTCCCTCAGGTGCTGGTGAGTCTGCTCTCTCAGGTTCTGCGTCGGCTTCGGCCTCCCACACCTTCACCCTTGACTCGGGGGCTTCTCGCTCCTTCTTTCGAGACCGCACCACACTCACGCCGCTTAGCCGGCCAGTTGCAGTCTCTCTGGCAGACCCCTCTGGGGGTCCTGTCCTTGCTCACTTCTCCACTGTCCTCCCGTGTCCGGCGGCCCCCTCTGACACCCTGTCTGGTCTTTACCTTCCCTCGTTCTCTACGAACTTGGTGAGTGGTGCTGACCTACAGGATGCGGGGGTTCACCAGTTCACTCCTGCGAGTCGGCGGGTGACCCACTGCACGGACGCTCGGACAGGCCGACACCTGGCCACGTTTACCCGTCGGCCGGGGTCGAGCCTGTACACCCTGACCACTGCGTCTCCTCCAGTCACTGCGTCTGGTCAGGTAGCTGCGTCGGGTCAGGTGTTTGCTGCAGCGTCCAGGTCTGG